CCGGGCAATAAACGTCTGGAATGTTGTCTGTCATGGTGACTTGCGAAAGTAGATAAATGATTGATGCGATCTATGTAGGTCAAAATGTCATTTCATAAAACATTTAAATTAAAAGAGTTTAGTTAAGTTCCTTGAGTTTCGTTACAGTATTCAACCAGGCAGCATTATGATTGAATGTACACGTTAACATGTATTTTTAAGAGCAAAGATCTATAGAAAAAAAAGTTAAGATATGATTATATCTATGAGATTATGGGTATACGTCAGTCAGAAAGCATCCCAATGACACACAAAAGAAACCCGGCAAAACATCTTCAGTTCAAAATACGGTCTTCAACAAATGACAATTGACTATACAAAAAGCTCTCACTCGCTTCCAATCTATATACATGTATATGAGGGTTTAGATGGGGTGTAAGGAAATGAGAATAACAGGAAAAAATAAAGAGTACAGGATAATCATGGGGAGCTAAAATATATGAACAGACAAAAATGGCCTCAAATTTAAAAATGAAGACCCCTCCCTCCCAACACAGACCCTCATTTATAGCTAAAAACGATGTGAATAAATGTAACAGAATTTTGTAAAGATCTACCATCAAATCTCAAAACATTCACAGTAAGCTATAGGTTTTTTTTCAGATACGAGCTAGGATGTGTTTCATGTGGGCTACTTTTAAATACTACAAACACCGAGTCATTTAAAGAAGTATTTGAAAACATCTGTAATAAATTATTAACTACAAAGAAATATTATATATCAGACTGGTTTTTTTACATAGCTTGATTGCGTAAATTTTTTTAAGCAATATTGAAATCCTGAACGTAACCCGCATGAGCAAAATATGTTCATATTTGGAATCATTTGCATTGATCACTTTGATAAAAATGTTTGACAAAAATCTTCTCATCGAGCAGATAATCATAATTTTGGAGCAATAGAAAATGAAAGGATATGGAGGAAATGTACATGGGACAAAATCGCACACAATACATAGAAAACATAGAAAATTATCAATGAACAGGGCTTTTATTCCTGTTCTTCATCTTGACAGTTGATGTAGGGTCTTCTCAGACCAAGTCCGGGTGGGTTCGAAATCACGTAACACCTTTGCCCTTGTATTGTGCAGGTTAAAAAGCTGTCTATATTCGTATCAAATAAACATGTTCTCCTCCTGGATATAGTAAAATATATCATTTTTACAATACATATCAACATTCAATTGTACACACCCTACATATACATGAGTAGTATGTGTTTTTTTATATTTGAAAGAAGTAAGAAAAAACTAGTTATATATGCTAATTATGTTAATTTTGTTGTTTATCATATCGTGTATATCCGAAGGGTATCATGTTTTCAAATATAGATGTCTTGTGATAAAAGATCATTCCGCCCTTACTAATAAAATAATTATCAGACCACAAGACACAGTATTCAAACGTATTGCAGTGCTTGGATTCGCATGGCGAGGGATGCATCTATAGGAGGAAATGCATACGGCCCTGTCGACTCGACAGATTTGGTTCCTTTTGGAAATCAAAGTAATTTTTTAAGTATTGTTTTACATGATTTTTAAATTCATTGACACATTTCCAACCGTACTTATTGATACGGTATGGGTTTTGCTCATTGTTAGAGGCCGTACGTTGACCCTACGATTGCTTACTCACATCATCTGAACTCTGATGGATAGTTGTCTCATTAGCAATCATACCACATCTCCTTGTTTATAATTATAATAATGCATGTAAATTTCTGGTTCATGTAACATTTTATCTAATAGTTTCTCAGGCTCTTAGTTATGTCTTTTCATTTGATTTCTAATAACTCTAGCTGAAAATACAGTAACCGATGTACAAAGCTTAAAGCACTTCAGACTCTTCAGTCTCTTCAGTGGTTGTCGTTTGATGCTGTATATCATATTTGCTTTTCGTTCATTGATTTGTACTTAAATCAGGCCGTTAGTTTTTTCGTTTGAATTGTTCTATATTTGTCATTTCGGGGCCGTTTAATTATAGCTGACTGTGTGGTATGGGTTTTGCTCATTGTTGAAGCCAGTATATATATGTCATTTTGTCTCTGGTGGAGAGTTGACTCGTTCGCAATTTTAATATCAAGATGCTTTCTGATTTGTTTTTTATGGTGGGTTGTTGCGTCATTGAATATGCCCCTTACCTCCTTTTATTCGTAATTGAACAGTTTCTTTACTTACCTCACAAGACTTTCATGTGGGACTGCTTTTACATAATTCACACTATTTTCAGGGCCAGAGATATACGAAGAGTCGTTTTTCTACAGTTTGTTCTTGAAGCTGATGTCTAATGGATCTTTAAGACAATGGATCGTAAGTATCTTTCAAATATCAAGTCATCGAGGATCTATAAATTTTATTTTCATTAATTTGGGCCAATAATCTATAAACACGTGTATAGTTTTTATGCAGTGTCGGATCCAGGATTTTTGAAAGGAGGGGGGCATAATTCCCGAAAACTATACCTTATATATAGGCAATTATTTGTTTTGCCGATTTTATGCTAAAAAAATTACCAATCAAAGGGGGCGTACACCCTCTACGTACCCACCTCTGAATCCGAAACAGAACTTATGACAACAGGTTACTAGAAATTGAAAACTACACTTTAACAATTTAGTGCGTCAAAAGCATTTTTCTGGATTAATCTTCATTAGGAACGCACAAAGCTAGAACTATAAATGAAATATACACCGAATTCTATGATTTTTTTTAGAAAAGAAAATCTAAGTCTTTTGAATAAACAAATAAGTATAACCAAAATCAAACATTTAGTTACGTTAGAATATACATCAAGACACGTTTGATACATAAACAGATTATTAATGATTTACAACGATTAAATAAACAAATTTATTTAATAGGATATTTCAAAATGTCCTAGAGTCAATGATTTAATCAGAAACAAAATATTTTAATATGATTAATTGAACTGATAAAGGTATCTTGACCTTAGCAAGTGGCGTCAGAAAAAAATTCAGGTTACTAGTATATGTCGTTCTTTTCCTAGTCGACATAGTTGTCATTCTGTTGGAAGGTGGACTGCGCAGGGTTTTAATTGCGTATGTTATGCTGTTGACATAATTTAGAAATTCCTTTTATCCTTTTAATGTATCTTTTCATCCTCAAAAACTAAGATTGCATGTTGATGGATTATATTTCCTGTAAAAAAATAAAGTTTACAGACTCACACACATACACGGGTTTGAGAAGAGGGACACAGTGTGTACTGTTTGCATGTAAAGTATTTACACAGCATATAATTCTTTATGAAACAAAGACATGTTAAAATAATTGTTTCTTTTTCTTTCTTATTTTTTCTAGAATCAGAAATTTCTTAGGCCTTCCGGCAGCAGTTCTAGTTTATCATTTGGTATGTTTTATTAGAATGACAAATCTTGTATGTACTGATATTATGGCAATTGAATGTTAAACACAAAGAAAACATGACAAAGGAAATAAAGATGACTCAAATAGTTGGAGATGATGCCTAGGGTAAAATCAAAAACCACTAATAGAAGAAAACAGAAAACACCCAAGCCAACAGAAAAAAAACGAAAAACCAAACAACACAAAAATATTCAGCAAAACGAACGCAATTAAAACAGTCGGCAATTCAATTAGTCCGAAAGGCACAGCAGTTTCTACTCCACTAGTGACACCAGTCGCTGTAACGTGACGATATATTAAAGGAGGATTTTTAGATAAACATAGAGAATACCCAAAGTCATGTCATGTACAACCTCGCCATGTATAAATGTTTAATTTTTTATATTTATTCCAGGTGCAAATGGTAGTAGCAACAGACAAACAACAACCATTCAAACAGAAACAACTTCACCAAGTTTGACCTTTGTGAGAGATCATGACCATAATGTTAAAGTTCAGACAAGTACGTCTGCAGTTAAAGATCTTACAGTTGAACGGGATCATATGAATCCTACCCCGCCTTCCGGTCAGCTTGTAACAGACTCAAAAACAACAAAAAATAAAGAAAAATTTACAATACCGATTGTTATCTTAACTGGTACTGAAGCCGAAAAGATAAAGGTACCAGACCATACAACTGAATCCCTGACTGTGGTAAGAGACTATATGCAAGATGGCAGTACAAAAGTCAAACGTCACGTGTCGAGAAGAAAGAGAGCTCATCAATATCAATTGCCGATGGTTAGACTGAGTTCAAAAATTAAATACAACAATCCCTCTGACCAGGCATCTCAAACAGCACCGCTGACCGATGACGATGGACAAGATTTAGTTATTGTCCGGGATAAGTCGAATCAACCAAAAACCGTTACATTCAAATTTGTGCCATGCGGGAACGGTCAAATGTGTATTGTGTTTGCTTAAAGCTAGTACGAAGGGATTTCAAAGAAATGTCAATTTTTTTTAACTTCCGGTTTCAATGTTAAATCAAAACATCTTTTGCTTATGGCTATACCAACGTCGAGATACCAACGTTAAATTATTCTTTACGTACGTGCAGTGTTAGGAGTTATCAGATGAACAAAGTGACAGTTACTTTTTCTTCTTTTTTGTGTATGATTTATGAATTCGTCCAGTGTATCTCTCTATATATATACGTGTATATGTTTATAAAATATTACACTATATAGCCTACTGTTGAACTCTTTTAAATTATTTGTTAATGGCTACAGTTAGTGCTGTCAATTGTACATAACTGTTATCATTTCATATACATTGTACTTACAAAAATGTACAAAAATTTAGAATTACAATGTTTTCATAAATGGTGTCCTTTTCATTAGATAATGCATAAATCTTGAAACTTACAGAATTTTTGTTTGTAACGTGTCCGTGCTTTCTTTTTTATTGTTCGAGAAAAGTACCAAAAAATTGAATTGGAGCCGCCAACTCGAGTTCGCATACAGATACTCTTATGACGATGAAATCATGCATTGAATATTTGTATATAATTTTTATTACAAAACTGAGTCATAGGTGTATCAATGATATTGATACTGTTGTGATGTAAAAAAAAACATCATTTACAAGGTCTCTTATTATTTATTCACACTTTTTTATTTTTATATAACAGTTTCTTTGTAGCTTATCTCATTATCTATCATTTATTTCATGTTTCAGGTTTTGAAGCCCAACGGTTAGTAAAATCATGGAATTTAATAACTCTGTGGGCATAAACATTTGCAAATATCATTATTGATATGATGTTTTTTTTCCGTAAGGGAACAAGTTGCTATGTATCTGCTTAAGTTCCTCGGCTTTAGTTCAAAAGTTCAAATGGGATCAACAACTCTATTATTAATTGCTTTTACTTTTTCAAATTATAAGAGATGTTTGCTGCAAAAAAAGGCATTATCCTTAAATTATCTTCATATTTTCACATAGATCGAACATTGGCTTAGTTAGGGAGCCCGTTTTTCCCAGCTCTCACATTGAAAATCCTTTTCTTTCAGAAATCATTAGATCATCACTTGTAGGTTGATGTATCTTAATTCATTTGAGGTCAGAACTCATAATCACCAAACTTAAATTAATAAGTTGAGGAATTATTTCGGAAGTTTAAAATATCTTTGACAAGAACGCAAAATTGTTCGTTTTTTTAAAACTAAATTGCAGTCCTGTTTCCAGGGAAATCAAGACAACTTCCCGCAAAAAGTGTTAGACAAGAAACCATATCTTAACCCTGACGTCATGAGGTTATCTTCCCTTAACTGTAATTGTACACGTAAGTGTAGCTTTTTTCATGTTTTCTATGTCATATTTGTTGTTGTATATGTGTTGTTGAAACAATAAAATTTTATCATCTCTATGATGTTGTTGTAGATAACATCGTGTTTGTGAATCGATTATCAGTTTGGTCAAATGACCACAAGGGGACAATCTGGTTTACCTGTAATAGAAAAACAAAGGATATGGGGGTATCCATCCATGACACAAAATCAGTACATGCACAGAAAAAACACACACAATAAGCAAAGGAACAGCATAATGTCCATTTTTGGAACGACCATTATTGATTTCTGGGGGAGGGGGGTTAGGGGTGGGGTGGTAAATTTTGAAAATGAACAAATTGGGCTTGTAAAAACTTAAAATTAATAACTTTGTACAAGACAAGACACAAAATGATGGAGACAAATGTGTACAAAAGTACCGCTCAAAAACTGATAATGCGTAGCAGCAGATGAAAATAAATGATCAATCCGGAATAAATCCACCAGCCACACCCCATATATGAAATGTTCGTCCCCTGATCTCTAGGCAAGATCCCCGCGATATTAGTACTACAAAATGGTTTATTTTTCGCAGAGCGTTAATTTGCAAAATCCCAATTTTCTCCTCGATTCTTATCTTCCACCAGATTAAATTTTCGTAATCTTTAATTAATTTAAGAACGTTATTATCAATAACAAGTCTTTGGCGAAAATTCGACAATTTATAGTTGATTAGAACTGATTGAAAAGTGCAGATGAAAAAGTACGTTTTAAAAGAGCTCGATTAGAAATACACTCAATCGTAACAAGAGAAGATAACAATCACACGCGCTTTTCTAGAATTTGTAAATAATTGATTGCCTTTGCTTGCTTGACGTACAGTGGCAAATATTTCATGTATATATTGAAGAGTGAACAAGTTAACAGTACATTTCATTCGATAGGATATATAGTGGGTCGACATGGTTGTAGGGCGAAAAGTTTAGACAGCCACTGGAAATGGTAAGACATAATTCTTTCCCACGGTTCACATTAGTTTTAACGTCCCTATTCTTGACGGGCGTCAGTCAATGAACTGACCATGTAATTCATAAATTACAAACTTTACATGTTAGAACTGGGGTCAAATCAAAGTCAGATCTGACAATGTTATTTTTTCATATAGCTCTGTTTTAAAGTCAATCTAATGTCTTCAGAAATGACATAGCCGACAAAACAGGAACATTGTCCCTCATTCAAAATTTTTATCGTCCTTAAATAAATCAAGGTGACATTCAACACAAATAAGTCTTAGAGGAACTGACACACCATGACAAGAAAAACGATAAGTTTACTGTACAAAACACTTCATAGAAAACTTATGACGGAGTAACATTAGTGGTCGTGTGTAATATCTTAATGTTTTTTTTTGTTATTTTGAGAATTGGGTGTCAATGGCAGATCTATGGTTGTTTCTGTTAAATTCGTCACCACCTTATATAGACACCTGTCTATTGCGGAAGTCTCAGTCTGTATGTTGTCCTCTAGATGCATTTGTGTTTATTTTTTGTCGTTGGGTCGCTGGCGCATTGACTTATACCCCACATCCATCATGCATATGCAAAAATAAAATTATACAGAGGCATAGGAAATGGTCTTGAAATATATCTTAATTCTTAAGAAATCTGTTTCTCATCAAATAGTAGTCAATTTGGAAATTACTAGTATTAAGAAACAAAGGTTCCAAATCTCTCAGACAAAGTTGACCTTCGATGATTTTGGCTATTCTATTTCCTTATGAAAGTATATTCGGAAAAGCACTTCGCACGCATGAAAATTCTAAAGTGTTATTTTCATTTAATAAGGGATTCTTGTTGCAAAATAATAGAAAAGAAAGGATATGGTGTATCCATCCATGACTCAAAATTAGTATGTGCACAGCAAACAACACAAAAAGTAAAGGAACAGCGCTTTTATTACTGTTCTTCATTTCAAAGTCACAGTGAGGCCTTCAACACGGAGCAAAAAACTCTCATCTCACTGCAAGTTTCAGACGGCCCCTAGCACCGGTTTGAGCGGTTTTTTTTTTTGTTAATTGACGAACACGCCACAACTGTGAATTGAAGAACAAAGCCATGGAGTAATATCAATGAAATACATCTGGCAAAGAAAACAAGCATGTACTGTCTTAATTAAGCCCGACAACCAGACTGAAGCGTGCAAAAGACAGTACAAACATTAAGACAACAACGGGGCACATCGAGATATATGTTAGATAACTCGGCAGGAAATAACGTATGTATAGGACAAAAATTTCATGTAGACAATGTAAGATGTAACACCACCAACTCTGACCCGGTCAAATAGAACGTACGGAAAGTAGTACATATTTTTAAAGAAAATAGTTCCCACGCATAGGTGTAAATATAAAACTATGTAGAATATATTTTGGTAATTTAGGTATTAAATGAAAGGTGAAGGACTGGTGATCCTTTTGACTGATAATTTTGAATAATACAAAATTGTATGAAAGAATTCTAAAATTGAGGGCATATATTGCCTGGTTTTTTTTCAGATATGAAGTACCTGGTTTGGTGTATCCAAAGTTCCGGTAACCAGTACGGTCTTATGTGTAAAGAACGATATATTGATCCCGCCCCATAAAAAGCCCTTTTTTTGCACTGACGCAACGTTAATCATTATCCATCACTCAATATTGATATAGAAGAAACAACCAAAGTCAATGAAAAGAGAAGCTGTAACATTTTTATAAAAACCAGGGGCGGATCCAGGATTTTTGATAGGGGTGTAATTCTAGAAAACGGAGTGTATACTACCTAGCGAAAATTTTTTTGGGACGATGTTATTCTAAAATATCATAAATCGTGAGAAACATTAGTTATTTTAGATAAACAATGGGGGTTCGTCTTCTACAGTCCCAGGATCCGCCACTCAAAACAATACGAATCACACATATAAGGTTCTTTCCGACGTATTGACCCGTCTTATTAACTGACAATGACGTAGAACAAATTTCACCCTGAAATTATTCACACGAGGACCAATTTCAACAAGTCTATCAATCTTTAAATTACAAAATTTCAAAGCATAGCTGTTTCATTTGCGTACTTTTAAAATTTTAGAACACCATTTAGTATTTTTAAACATATAAGCAAACAAGTCTGCCAATCTGATAGTTTGTAGTGTGCTGCATGTGCGTACTTTTTTTTATTCTTAGAATACCATGCATAGCGTATTTCTAAACATATAAGCAAATAATAAATACATTTAGATGGCTCATTACTGCAATTTTTATTTTTGGCAATTTTTTTGTAATTATTGCAAAAATGAATAGGAAGGTAATTTTTAACAAACCATAGTAAAATAATATTAAGTTTTGTCATAGATTTTTAATTCAAATTATTTTATGTTGGTTAGGGATGTCTCTCAATGCAAAATTTGACCAAATCCTGTAAAATTTGCGACATTATATCAAACTACTCCTCAACAACAATTTATTCACAGCACACAATAATATTCTGATTGTATGGATACGTGTTCTTTAATAATTTTGATTTTTTTCTTCATATATCAAAAACAAATTCTTATTTTAGAAAATTCTCCATTATATTAAGAAACAGTCTGTACAACGCGGCATTTTGAGTCTTTGATTCATTTTTTACATTTCTTTATACTTTGATCAAACCAGAAACTTATTTTATATATTGAATATGAAATATTAAACATTAAAATATTAACGACACGCCTATCTGTGCACATATTGTATTTGAATGAATGTTTCCTTTTTTGTTTTTTTACCGCGCAATTCATCAAATTAAAATTACAAAATCCATTTCAAAGCATTAAAACGTTTTAAAAGAGGGGGAGCAATAAGGAAACAGAAGTGTGTGGTAAAAAAATGTTATACTTTTAAATACCATGTACACCGTTTAGTCTTCCGTCGGGAGCCTTTTGAACTTTATATAAAAGGCGGGGTTTTCCCTACCATAGTCATTCTAGCTACTCTTGCAAGATGATGTACACGAAGCTGATGCTATGTGCGCTTGTACTTGTTATAGCTGAAGGTACAGGTAAGTTGAGTCAATTTCTATACAGATTAATAGCTAACTTTATCCTTAGATTTTGATTGAAATGCGAGTACTTCTAGGAATATATTCCATTAGCAAGATAAGGTTATAACGTTTGTGGATTCTAGTCTTCAGTGCTCTTCAACGCTTTAATTGGGTTTTCGATTGATGATGATGAGTCTTATTCATACGAAACAAGCCATGGCGTACCAAAGTAGAAAACTGGTATCTTTGCTGAGTAATTTTATGTACTATTATACATTTATTTTCGTTGGCGCAAAAGTCATAGAATTAAGAAAAAAATAATTTCGTGGTATGACAAACTCTGATTCATACAAGATTACAAGAACTTCGTAACACGTAAATTAAATTAATGTCTCAACTATATTGAAAAATCCACTAAAATTAGTACTCCGCGAATATGGAATTGACAGTATTGACCTTTTACTATTAATTCTTCCTCTCTTTACCTTTATTTACATGTTTTGTTTATTTTTGTTGTTCTTAATGGTTATTGGTATAGTTTCTGCGGTGAACGCGATTTTGGGTACCAATTATCCATAACATTTTTATCCTCTTTTTTTTTAAATTTTAAGCTTAAACTTTGATACTAGTATATAAAAGGGTATAATCTTAAATGCGTTTCAGTATATTGGACTTCGATTACGTACAAGGGCTGGGTTTAAATCAGACCAGATTGGGCTTGGACAGTTGTTGTGTTTTGTTTAGGTCATTTGGTTTTAAACTCTCAAACGTTTTATATTTGGCTTTCCAAACTTTGGATATCAAGCCTAGCTGATGATTGTTTTGTCTCGAAACGCGAAATCTTATCAACTGTCATTTACGATTTATCTAATTATGAGAGATCTCATTGATAAAAACTGCTTTAATTCACCATTTTATTGTGTATGTACATAACTATTAATGTTCAATCTTCACCACTTTCAACAGGAGACCGAAGTACCCAGATAGAGCCACCGACATCAAAGCAAAAATGAATATGAAAATATTTTTACTAAGCCAGATGTAACCAAGCGGTTGTCGTTGGTTGCTTTCTGTCGTCGTTGTTTTTCTTTTCCCGTTTAAGTATAAATCTTGCCGTTCGGGTTTTTTTCTTTTGAATTGTTTCACATTTTGAAGCTTACTTTACACTATGTGTTTTGGTCATTGTTAAAGGCCGTATATTGTCCTGTAGTCGGTCACATCCTGGTCCTTTCGTGAAATTTCAACCATAGTTTTTTATATATTAAGATTTGTTTTTATAAATCTTCTTTTTTTTTTACTTTTTTACAGATATATATATATAAGAAACACCTTTAATTAGCAATGTTAAGTTGTTTTAAATTTGATAGTTATTGTATGAAGTTTTATACTGTTTGTATCTCATAAGTCAGATTTTTATGGCTGGATATTGATTGTTATATGTGTAAATATTACAAATGTTGTAGATGTTTTATGATAATCATACGGAAGCATATATGGGCCATCATTTTTTCCTTTTTTTTTTCAAATTGTCAACTTTACCGGCTAGATCTCGTCTATTAGTCGGTCCCCCTCTCTGGATTATGAACTTTACTCCCAATTTTCCGACTAATAAGCGAGTAGGAACGGTAATCTTGGAATTGTCAACTTTAATCTTGAAATTATCAACTTTGATCTTGGAATTTCCAACTTTAATCTTGGAATTTCCAACTTTAATCTTGGAATTATCAACTTTAATCTTGGAATTTCCAACTTTAATCTTGGAATTATCAACATTAATCTTTGAATTATGAACATTAAACTTGGAAATTCCAACTTTAATCTTCCGACCCTCATTAGTCCGACACTGATTTTTCCGACTTTCAATAATCAAGTGAATGTCTGAGTTGAGAACATCGTGACTTCTGGCTCACTTGACTCTCGCCTCGGCCAATGAGTGCACTTCTGTTTGGTGTGCTTTACTTTACTTTTTGCGGGTGATTTCCTTTTGACCCAATAAAATTTTTGAAACCGTTGTAGGTGATTTCTATTGTAAACATCGATGCACATCCGCCTATTCAGCAATATAAAATAATAAATACATATACTGCATACGTGATTACAATTTTTTGATAGGGGTGTGTCATTTTTATTTAAAAAAATGTATCCATTTTTATACAACATTCACTAATATTTGGTACCTATATTTATATATGAATAAATAGAAAGAATGACCTTTTCTTATATACAATATTTTAATATTAAAATGCAAAGATTTAGGAACTTTATATTTATGTAAAAATAAGGTCCCTGATTGATTCAAATACCACAATTGGCCATTAATATAAGATTTCCAATAACATATTTATATAAGATATGAAGAACATACCCTACATCATTATAAAGTTATGAAAGAACAATGCATATCAATATAGAATGTCATTTTAAAAAAGTAGTGTCATATATATAAAATCTCGCAACATCATGAACCATATTTTTGGCATATCCACGAATACCATTAATAGGAAGTTACACCTCCTTTCATGGATATTAGGCTACGTGAAGCTATATAAGACTTTAGGTACACGTCTATTTTGCTTTAACATTTTACAAAAAATTAGCCGCGAAAATAATAACAAGGAGATTAAGTATATGGAGAAACACAATAAACTATCGACTAGAAGTAAAATATCAGTCATTTCTAAGGTTAAAATTGATAATTTCAACACTAAAGTTGGAAATTCCAAGTTAAATGTTGAAAATTCCAAGATTGAAGTTGGAAATTCCAAGATTAAAGTTGGAAATTCCAAGATTAAAGTTGACAATTTGAAAAAAAATATTAAAAAAAAGGATGGCCCTAATACGCTTCCGTACAATCAATATGTGACATTTTAATAAAAAAATCATTATTATTATTTATTATTTATTGTTAATGTTGTTTCATTGGTAATTAAACAAGATCTATTAACGTTTATATTAATAGCAACCGACTTGAATCTACCACAATTAGCTGTAGTCTTATGATTACGATTATTGTCATTTGCATGACCGATCACTATGCTATTTTCTACAAATTATTAGAATTCATTGCTAGTACAAACATTGGAGGTATTACAACGCTCAAGAAACAATATAAGTTTTGACACAGCATGAACATAAACTGAGTAGTTTTAATGTTGTTCAATTCGCACAATTCTATTTGCAGCGTTTACTCTGTGTAAATAATGATAAGAAGATGCGTATTTATTTGAATCAATATATTTTCTTCTTACAAAATAACTAAAAAGTATGTATATATTTTCAATCTTTCTTCTAATATGTTTTTTGTCCCTTTAGATGTTTGATTTTGTTTGTTATTGTATAATAATCTTCGATTCTATGGTTGTACCCTGACGACCCGTTCTAATCGAATAGTCTTGATATTTGCGTTTGCTGCAACGCTTCTCCACTAAGAACGCGACATTAAAGAGAGACAGCAAAACTGGTCGGCTTGAAGCTAGAATAATATGTTAGAATATGATAGCCTGTATTCCTGTGGACAGTTTTAATGTAAAAATTAAGACTTAAAAAAAGCAGAATAGTCTTAAAATATCACAAATATTCCTAAATATATATATATATTATAAAAATAAGGAGATGTGGTATGATTGCAAAGGAGACAACTATCCACCAAAGTTCAAACGAAGTGGATGTAAGCAATTATAGGCAACCATATTGTTTGTTTAAGAGATGTGTAAGATTTTAATAGAGGAATAACTTAATTATATTAACTATTCTTAGATAACCCCTGTGATACTAATATATGCAATAATGGAGGAACATGTATCCACCTGTATGGTGATAATGTGATTTGTAAATGCGCAACCGGATACAGAGGCGTAACATGTGACGGTAAATATAGAATTCAGTGCAAAATAAACTACCATCTAAACAATTATTGAATGACGGTTAAATACATGAAATTTAAATACAAAAAATACTCACAGCGGAAAACATGATTTAATAACGTCAATCACCGAAGAATACTTCCGGAATTTCATATTAGTTTCATTATTTGCATTTAAACAATTCATGTGCGTTTTGACTCAATTTTCATTTTGATATTAATTTATGGTTTTGTACTTGGAGCAAGGGTTTGAACGGATATGTTCTGTGTAGGTCATGTCAATTTGAAAGCTCAAAAATATTATTCATTTAAACTTTTTAAATTTTGATTTCGAGTGCAACTGAATAAAGATCAGAACCACATGATAACAAGTACAAGGAATTGCACGTAAGGCTTTTTAGTGTAGGGCGGTTGCTAATTTGCTTTTAATTCTGTAAGGAGAGGGGGGGGGGGGGGGGGGTGTTTGAATGCATTTTGCGAATTAAAAAAAAAGTCTTTGAAAGACAGCCAACAACACGACAAACAAAAAAAGAACAAAGAACAGTTGAAAAGAACTTATTTTTTGTTTAGGATTATACGTCGGTAATATCTTTTTTTATTAATACTATTGACTTGATCATAATGGCACATTAATATACTGATTAGTTGATTGGTAATTGCTTAACGCCACATCAGCACAAAAAGGCTATATCGCGCCAAGAGCTATTTCAATTTTTTTTTTACAAAAGACAGTTTTAAAATGTAAACAAAAAATCTTTTAATTTACTAACCCTTTAAGTCAAAGCGAAATTACTTATTTACAAATAAAATTCAACAATAAGATAATGTGATAAAAATCAAAATCATTTAAAACTAATACAATAATATTTTGGACTAAATTCCAATGTCTTTAAAAACGAAACAATTGTTCGAACTGGAATAATGTTAAATAAAAGAGGGACGAAAGATACCAGAGGGAAATCATACAAATTATTTACATTAGCAAAATTATATAAGTACAGCTTCTCATTATAATAATATTATATTATCATACAAACTTGAACTAAATGATGGCTTTGTCATCCGTGTTACGTTATTTGTTTGATGATTGGTTGACGAGTTTTCAGGTTCACTGGATCATCCGAAGTTGCTAATATAAAGCGTGCCCATTATTCTGTAAATGACGAAAATAATGTAACATCTTCTAGCCGACGCACAAGAACATACACATTGACGGTACAGGATATTATTCATACTTGAGGGTCTGAATGGGTTTACTGAATTAAGAATACTAAATAGTACAGAAATAAAGGACCCCCATCCAGACCCTCATACTTAGTGTAGTAACATTGGAAGCTGACATAGTTAGAAGAATATTGCTGATAATATTATTGTATCTTTAATTTCAGACGAAGAATTTATATTCTCTGGCAATAGCAATGATCCATGCGACCCTGATCCGTGTGCGAACGGGAACTGTAAGAGGTAAAATGAAAACACAATACAATGTGTATGTGATGATGGGTACAGTGGACGATTTTGTGACGATAAATCCATAATATGTCTGTCGAAAATTGTTTTCTCCCTTAAAATATATATTTTGTAATCCACATAAAATCTTAAAGTTAAAACTATTTTTTCTATCAATGGCCGCATGATTGGCCTAGTGGTAACGTGCTTTTAGCTCACCTGAGCTGAGCTTTTCTCACCTCTTGGCGTCCGTCGTCGTCTGTTAACTATTTACAAAAATCTTCTCTGAAACTGCTGGGCCAAATTTTATTTACCCTCTTTTGTGTTTTGAGGAAAAACTAAAGAAGATAGAGAGAAACCAAACAGACTAAATGATCAGTAATACAAGATCAACAAAACAGATTATTGTCATGAATTCTATTCTCATCTACAATGTTGCAGAGTGTTCTTTGTTGAATATGCACCTAGACCAAGGTGAGCGACACAGGCTCTTTATTGCCCGAATGAGGTGGTATAACTTTCAGTTGACTACTTCCTTGAACGATCGTCTAACTTAAGGGTCAACAGGTTACTTTTCCTATTATTATATATAAATATATCTTGTCTATGCATTGCATTGATTGATTGGTTGTTGATTGCATAACGTCCAGTGGCAAATATTTCATGCTCGTTCAGGACGAGAACAAATTAACAATAAATACAATAGGTAGGTCCTGTAATAGATGCCATCCGTGATGATGGTCAGGGAAATTTAGACTGCCAATGGAAAATGAGGGTATTTTGGATAAGGGACAGGAATTAAGTCTTGTAACAGACCACCTACGGCCTCCTCAAAGAGTTGTTGCAAAGGTTTTTAACGTGCAGCGAGCGTGGCATTCTCTCTACACGAGGCATCGTTCTGACCGGACGTGGCTGTTACTTCATACATCCCGCACATCCAAACTGACGCCCCACATTTGCGAGGGTTTTACTGCCGGTCGGAGGAAGACCAAAGTGACCATATTTCTATTCCCCAGTCACTTTTGTGGGGACTTTGCATTGCATATATAGTCGAAAGGTTACAAGCTGATGTGCAAACATTCAGCTCCGATTTTGTGGTCTCTTGCACACTCAGGTCTTTTTATGTCATTATAAAATTGATGTGGTGATATACGACACTTAAAACAGCAACCTAATGAAACAAATAACAAAGATGACAGATGATATTTCCTTTATTCAAAACAGTAGTATTGTTGTAAAGTGATAGTACTTGTTGCTTAGAATGTCAATTTCTTATGTTGCATGGGGTACTTATTTCTGTAGTAAGGCATGCACTCACCAAGCCTTGCTTATTTCTGTATCGAGGCATGCACTCACCAAACCGTACTTATTTCTGTAGTAAGGCATGCACTCACCAAGCCGTGCTTATTTCTGTAGTAAGGCATACACTCACCAAGCCGTGCTTATTTCTGTAGTAAGGCATGCACTCACAAAGCCGTGCTTATTTCTGTAGTAAGGCATGCACTCACCAAGCCGTGCTTATTTCTGTAGTAAGGCATACACTCACCAAGCCGTGCTTATTTCTGTATTAAGGCATACACTCACCAAGCCGTGCTTATTTCTGTAGTAAGGCATGCACTCACCAAGCCGTGCTTATTTCTGAAGTAAGGCATACACTCACCAAGCTGTGCTTATTTCTGTAGTAAGGCATGCACTCACCAAGCCGTGCTTATTTCTGTAGTAAGGCATACACTCACCAAGCCGTGCTTATTTCTGAAGTAAGGCATGCACTCACCAAGCTGTGCTTATGACCGTTAAATTTACATTAATTAAATAATATGATATCATTTACAAATAAATAAGATAACACGCAATGTAACAGATTCGCTACATACAATAGAAGAAACCTTTGGGTATGTTTAGAAATATAGATATCCATTCATGTATATTATTGATAAAAACAAGCTAGTTTGATTGTTTTGTTTTAATTGAAGAACTTTATTTAAAAATAAATACTAATTAAATGAAGCATTGAAAAATTGACTGATTTAAAAAAAAAAACTATTTAAAAATATAACCGTACTAGAACACACCCGCGACATTGCGGGTCCGTGACTGAATTAAATTACCTACGCCTTATTTTAGCCTAGATTTATAGTATTCGTATTGTCATCTGATAAAGTCATTCCGATTGTAAGGTTCACAGTTTTCTCTGCTTTCAAAATCTTTCTGTCTGAACCCGTCCTGGTTTTCTTACTTCAATAAACTTACTATAAACTAAATTTAAATTTTTAACAAATTAACCAAAATTGATAGTGGTATTTAGGTGGAAGAAATCGGACTTGTAAAATACTATAGTGTAACATAAATATAAAGCAACTACTGGAAGAATCCCATGTTCTCCTGATAGAGGAGGAATTTACAGAAAGTAACATGTAAACGGAAACTACATGTGACATATACTATTGGTATCGGTATCGGATTCGACCAAGAACTTGTTAATTATTGGTAATATTAATTATGTGACAAACAAAAGGGCCTGGCTGGAATGGTGTAATTTTTAAACAACACCATTGTCCTATATTAGTTATATATAAAGTTGAATTCTTTGAATCGACGAATTTACGTCATGCCGGCTAACCAATTGGACTTCGTTATTTTAGTAGTATAGATTGCTTTAACACATCATTTCAGTTAATCCTTGTGAAGTAGATCCATGTAAACATGGGGGAACATGTTACACTAATGGGATAGGCTACTACTGTGCGTGTACGGATCTATCTTACGGGATAAATTGTGAAGGTACTAAGATTAATATATTCAAATATCATTTATATAAAATATTTGAAAGTCGACAACCCAATACAAACGTTGAAGAGCTAATAAAACAAAAAAAAAAACATACCAAAAGTAATGCAAAACCTGGACAAGGCCTCAGAGAGAGATTTGTATGATTGCCAATGAACATTATTGTAACGTGACCGAGGGGAGGTCAACACCGACACAGACGGACGGACATAGCCATCTATGGCACGACAATATATCCTGTGGTAAATTCCCAGTAACTAAATAATACGGTATATATATATATAAGTTTATTAACAAATGTACATTACTTTAGACTTATTGACAAATAAACTACAAAGTTTAAACATATAAACTTTACATACAAGTCCTCTAGAATCTTTTTTGATTCAAGACTTAAGGAATACACATCCTTTCAGTATCCAGCTGATACACAATCTGCCAGTCTCTGCCCAACTGACCTTGATCATAGAGTTTAATTACTTTCACTCTAGACAAAACAAATAGGCATAACTTATTTTATTACCCTACACCCCAAGACATCGCTACTTGTCTTAATTACATCTGACAGTTCAACTTTAACTGCAGATAATAAAACTAGCCATTTGTCAAATTAGCCTTGCGTCATTAATTTTCTCTGTACACAAATAAACAGTTATAAAGTCAAATTAACTAGAGGTCAATATTTACAAAACATTAAAATATTACATTGCCTCCCTCTTTGAAAAACATGTGTCTCACATGTTATAAAAAAACATCTTTAACTTATTAAAGTATGGAAGACCACTTTTCAAAAATAAAACAAAAATACGCAATAAAATATAAAAGGAAAAATCATAATGTATCAAAAACAATTTACACTCTGGCACAATAAAAATAAAAACAATTTCAACATTTGAAAAATAAAATAAGTCAAATAATTCAATCATAATCATGAAAACATGCAATGTTAATTTCAATGTTCATTTTAAATGTTCATAGTTTATAAGCTTCGAAAAAAGTTCTAATCAGGTACGAATCTGTTGGGTGGACGTTTCACACGATGTCCGCGACCGTATTCAATATTGTCAGTTGGAAAATTAGACATATCGCACTGTTCATTTTCACTCAATTCAATGTCAGACTCAATGTCATTTTCTTCGATTGCGGTAGCGTGAGACTCGGTGTCTTTTTGAATTACCGTTTTAATTAGCCAATTGTCAAAATCTCCATGATATGGTTTTAGTCTGTTGTAATGAACAACTCTTGGTTTTGACGATTCTAACTTTTGAATGCGGTATACTAAGTCACTAATACTGTTTATAATAAGATAAGGTCCATCCCAATTACACTGTAGTTTCGGACTAATCCCAACTTTTCTCTTTGGATCATGTAACCATACGGCATCTCCAACAGAATACGGTTTAAAATTAACTTTATAGTCATAATACCATTTCTGTTTATCACTGGCATTATTAATGTTTTCTCGAGCAAATTCATGTACATTGTCTAAATATGTTCTTATTTGCATCACATAATCCGGGAGATTATCAAAATTCTCATTATTACTAACAGTTCCTTATAACACGTCAATCGGATGTCTTACATCACGCCCGAATAACATCACATTCGGTGAGTATTTTGTCGTGTCATGTTCCGCGCTACGATATGCCATCATCTGTAATGGAAGTAGAACATCCCAGTTCTTCTGGTCTTTATTCACGCATGTAGCTAGCATTGCTTCCATTGTTGAGTTGTAACGCTCAACCATCCCATCAGATTGTGGATGAAGTGCAGTGGTTCTCGTTTTATCCACTCCTAAGAGTTTACAGAGTTCACGGAATAGTCTTGATTCAAAGTTCGTACCTTGGTCCGTGTGAATCTGCATCGGCACACCATAATGGGTCACAAATTGTTCAACAAACACTTGCGCTATAGTTTCTGCTTCCTGGTCGGGTAATGCGTATGCCTCTACCCATTTCGAAAAATAGTCCTGGATAACTAGTACGTATCTGTTATTACGTTCAGAGAGCGGTAATGGTCCCATTATGTCCATAGCAACTCTTTCCATAACAGCTCCTACATTATATGTTTTCATTGGCGCCCTAAATGTTTTTGGAGGTCTTTTTCGTGAACCACATTGATGACATCGACGGCACCATTCTTTGACATTTTCCCCAACGCCTGGCCAATAAAATCGTTCTCTAATTCGACCTAAAGTTTTGTTGACTCCCAAATGTCCAGCTGTTACGGCATCATGCAGGTTTGTTAGAATGTCCGTTTTAAAGCTATCTGGAACCACTAGCTGCCATGAAGTTTTCTTTCCTGTGTCGTCTTCCCATCTCCTGTATAAGATGT